ATAATATTGGTGTTGGCTAGATGATATAACCCTTGTGATTCATATCCTGTGCCAATCGTCTTCCTCAATTGTCGGTCCTGCATAGTCACAGATTTATTGGAAAATATAATTTCACAATTAAGATGTGAAGTGAGTTTATGGACAGAGATCAAGTTGAAGGGGCAATTAGGAATATACAATACAGAGGATAATGAGAGAGAAGGGAGTGGAGAGGCATTTCCAATTCCCATAGCTTTACCTATTGACCCATCACCAAAGGTAACAGATGGAAGAGAATTGGAAAATGTCAAGCATGTAAAAAGTGAAGGATTACCAGAAATGTGATCGGTAGCACCTGAGTCAAAAATCCAAATAGGATTGGACTGAGAGGCCAAGGAAACATGAGTTTTGTCAGGTGTAACTGAGGTTCGAGCAGCCTTTAACTGCTGGAATTCTTCATACTCAGACTGTGAGAGAACATGGGAACATTTAGTTTCCTTATTGACTTCAGCTACATTGACTGTGCTTGGTTTCCCATGTAGGTTCCAACATTGATCACGTGTGTGTCCTGGCTTGTTGCAATAATCACAAAAACGTTGCATACCTCTGCCACGGCCTCCTCCTCTTCCGTGAAGATTGTCTCTTCCTCTACCTCGACCACCCCGAGAGTGAGAAACAAAAGCAGAGTTATTAGCATTGTTGTCTTCTGTGACTGAGGTCCCTCGAAGTAGCCGAGTAAAAACTTCAGTAATGTTCGGCACAGTTTTCTCGCTCAAGATCTGACGTCGAACCTCTTCAAAACCCGCTCCTAGTTTGGAGAGTGTCAAGACTACCCAGAATTTTTCCCTTTGAGCTTGCTGTCTTTTAATGGATTCTTCCATTGGCATAAGTGTATTAAATTCTGTCATTAAGCCTTGAACTTTCCCTAAGAAAGTTTCCATTGACATCCCAGATTTTGTTATTTTTAAAATTTCATCAACAACTGAATAAAAGCGAGATATGTCATTTGTATAGAGAGACTTGGCTTGCTCCCAGACAGAAGAAATACACGTCCTGAAAGGGCGGAACATTGGAACGATTTCTGGTGAGAGAGACTGCCATAAGATGCTGCAAAGTTGGGCATCAACGCGTTTCCAGACTTCTCTTTGATACTCAATTGAATCAGCTTCTGTGACCAAATGGTCATCCACTCCTTGTCCCATGACCCACAGTTCCACAGTACATGCCCAATCTTGATAATTTTGTGATCCAATAAGTTTATTATTGGTAATAGTAGGGTTTCCAGAAAGATTTGGGATGTAAACGGGAACATGAGTTTCTTCACTACTGCTTGTTACGACCATGATGAAAACCTTGAAGATTGATTCACCAGAAAATATGCTCAAAGTCCCCTCCACGTGCAGAAGGAATTTCAGACCATACCCATGGCTTTGATACCATGTTGATTTAGGAAGAGAAGCCTTCTTGTATTTCTCATATACAATCATACATTATGACTCCCATATATATAGGGAATAGGGAAGTAAATCTATATAATATATTAAAACACAAAAGTCCCAAGGAAGGAGGACAAGGAGTGTTGGGCGGGAAAAAACGTTTCTAAAAAATAGATGGCACGCAAGCCTTAGAAATACTAAGAGTCTAAAGCTTCAAATATTGATTAGCAATAAATTCATGCAATGCTCGAAGTCACCTTTGGAATTCCGACTACTTCGTATTTGTCTTTTGAAATTCCCTGTGTGATCTTTATTGATTTAAATAAATGCTGCGAGCAAAGAAGATGTTTAGCAATTCCGATGCATCTGAAATAATAAAAAGGCCATTGGATGCTTTAATATAATGCTTGGAATTCTCTAGACCTAAAAGAATGTGCATCACATCCTTCAACACTTATACATTTATTAATATAATATAATAATAAAAATGTTTAAAGCCAATTATGAAAATTTCTACTATAAATAAGACTCAGGGAGTCACTTCATCCCATCGTACCAAGCAGTCTCTGCCAAAACGCCCAAACGCTCTACACTCTGTCAAGCAATCCAGTGATGAACATATAGTTTTCTAAAGGTTAAATAATTTCATTTACTTTGTTATTCAGTTTTCAGAATAGTCTTTTCTTATAACGTTTTTTATTTTGCTTTGAGGAATGAGATGCCTCCAGTATATGATTTGGTGAAGGATGATATACCTCCTGACACGCATGGACGTTGAGGCAGTACTCATCTCTTACCCCACTGATCAAGTATTTAATTAGAGATTTTTTTTGTCCTAATGTATTATAAGATATAGTTGACCATTCATAGTAAACTGTTTAATTTTGATTGGATGAAAATGAAAGATACTAAAAACATTATTACATATATCCACTGTTCAACAAAACATTTGATAATTGTTTTTTTAAATAAATGTGCTATTATATTATACTTGCTAATTTTCAATAATGATTGAGAGAGATTTGTGATACTACTTTTGCCTCATTAGGCATTTTTAGGGTGTTGTTATGTGGTTATCATGAAGAGTAATTGAGATTACTATCTACATTTTTAATGCGTTTTTCTCATAATTTTCCTTAACTATTTGTTGTGTAGGGGAGAATCAATCATTTGTTTTCTCTGGAGAAGCATGATAGATGAGTTTAATTCGTATTCCAACGTAGATTGTGTCTTCTAATGGAGAAGCACATAGTCCGCTGATGATCGAGCTTGATGAAAATGAAAGTGTTGACCTTGCTTTGGTGGAAGAGTTTTCATTAACAGAATGTTCAAAGAAATTGAAGGTAAAGATTAAAGAAGAAAAGGAATGATTTTAGCTAAGCCTGGAGATAAAACTGCTTCACAACTCTTTTTTGGACTACTGTTTAAGTTCAGATGATTTTTTTTCTCTATGCCTGAAAAAGTGTCGGATGGATTGGTGTTTAAGTTTGTTTTGGATGCGGTTATTTTCTTCTTGAATGAAAAACTTTTGTCATGATGATTGAATGTGTATTTTAATTTTTAAGCTCAAATTGATGTTGAGCTATGGATAATTGTGACTTGAATATTCTCTTTATTCAAGCTCAAATTTTGGTTTATCCTTACAACAAAAGTTATATACCCACAAAACCTACTCTCATTTAGTAATTCAGATTCTTCTAGCATGTTATAATTTGTAGTATACGTGAAGCAATGGAGGAGAATTTTGGAATCCCACTAAAACACATTTTTTCAAATGGGAATTATAGTCCATAATAAATTGGACCGAGTTTCAGAATGACTCTTAAAATTACCATTTGTGCCTTTAGGAATTAAATTTGTGCCTTTTGGAGTTTGTAAAGGTGTTAAATATAAATATGCCTTTTGGAATCCCTATGAACAAGGGGTGGCGGCTGATTTATTTTGTTACAGGAACTTGACAAACTAGACAACATCAACAAAATAGAATCTTTAGTAAGAATATCTCATTGGTGTTGTTTCCAATTAGTAAGAAAAAACACTTATCTAATACTGTAATAGTAGTAGATGATTACATTGAAACACTGATCGGCCAACATAGAAGCCGCCTGAGAGCTCGAAAATGATGATTGGTTGTAGTCGAGTTTTGTGGAGACGTGGCAACGTGTTTCGATTGTTGTGTTGGTGGTTGCATTGTAGATCTGCGTAAGCTTTTGGAGTTACGACGAAGAAGAAAGATGGAAGATTGGGGGAATTGGGGCTGCTAAATTTGCCGATCGGGATTGGAGTTGGCAGCGAAGAAGAAAGATGGAAGATGGGGATTAAGGCTACTGACTTTGCCGATCGGTTGCGGTTATTTGATGGTTGTGTTGGTGATCGGTGAAGTTGTCGATCTATTGTAGGGTGAGTGCGACGACATGCGAACGGACTGCGGTCATTTGGAGATCGCCGTAAGGATCTGGAGATCGATGCGAAGAAGGAAGGGGAACATGGGGGGTGCTGAATTAGCCGATCGTATGACGGTGATAGGGCTATGACTTTAGTAAAGGGGGTTCTGGGCTGTTGGGCTAGGAATGGAGTTTTAAGCTGGGTTTGCATTCAGATATACTTCGTATATAAATCATCAAATGGATTGTTTATAAATGAATAGACTATTAGGCTAGGATCATGACAATTTGAATGGACTGTTTTTAAATCTATATATATATATATATATATATATATATATATATATATATATATATTAAATATATATAATTTCAGTGAATGTAAATTATGAACGTATGCATTCTGATAACAAGAATATTCTAAAATACATGAAAAATATTTGATTATGGTTAGTTTGTGTAGTCTACTTTCAAATGATGATGGGAAAGAAGACATTTTCCTTTGATTGTCTCATATGCTATAACGATAAATAAGAGTCAAGAATAATCATTGTCCAATGTTGGATTAGTCTTGAAAAACATGTTTTCAGTCATGGTGAGTTATATGTTGACCTTTCACGTGTCACTAATACTGCATGTTTGAAAATAGCTATATGTGATGCAGATGGAAAAAATACCAATGTAAGACAATTTGTTTTAAAATTCTATAAATATTCATTTATATTTATATATAGCTTACTACTTCCATGAGTCCATCATACTCTTATTTATGTGCAAAAAGTTATTAAATTTTTAAAATTGTGTCACTATTTATTTTTTAACTTACGAGTTACATTATATATATTTGAATACGATTATTTCCCGTGCATCGCACGGGTAGCATACTAGTGATACATTAAAGGACAAAAGAAAACTGAAAGTCATAAAGGAAAATGAAAAGTTAAGCTGCTGGAAAGTCTGGAATATAAAAAGGCATATGCTTTAAATGCTATTTCCAACAGTCAAACATAGATTAGTTTAAATCCACCCCAATTTATTTTCATAGACACCATTGCTAGTTTGGATTATTTTTATGAACACTCTCAAAGTAGATTATTATTGTAAAATCCCAGAAATTATCGTAGAATCCCTTAGAAGTAGATTATTATTGTGAAATCCCAGAAATTATTGTAGAATCCCTAAGAATATACTCCGTAGAATATTCTCATCAATTTCTGTCTATAAAATAAAGTAAGGCTGAAACATTAGAATAATTCTTTTTACCCAAGTCACCAAGTGGGGTTTTAAGATTGGTGGGGTAATAGTAGTAGCATAACGCATATATACGAAAATATCTCCAACAGCAAAGTTGAATATTATGAAATGAAGAAAAAAATGTAAGCTTTCTTTGACTCTAGCAATGAAGGTTGGAAAGCTATCCTTAGAACAACATATCCTTGGAAAACCAATGAAGGGCCGACAGAGTAATTTACAAAGGCAATACTTTCTTCTGCCTAAAATAGATCAAGAATAAAGAATATAATGCCCCACAAAAAGCTCCAGTTATAATAAGAACCCAATTAAACGTTGATGGTTCATTAAAAATAGAATCTTCAAAGTTCATCCCAAATACCGCTGTCACCATAGCGAATATTGTGGCCACAAAAGTAGCAGCTGATAATAGCAACTCATATTGTATCAGCTGGTTTTGGACAGTACCCTGTTTGTTATGCATGGGGATAACAAAATGGTATTAATGACATCATACATAAGCTTCATAAAGTAGATAAGCTGCATATTTAATTAAACATAGTATGTATGGGTTTACCAGTTTTATGTTTATCAAATCTTCTGTGTCATCAATATATTCTTTAAGCTGCATCATTGGAAAACAACAGGTCAGGATTCCTAAGTGATGTTTGATGCTGATGGCTGAATACTGCTTCTAAGTTATATGTGTATTTCCATTCATTCTGAAGCGATATACTTCTTTTTTTAATTTCCCACATATGCCAACATCTCGGACATTGTTTTGTCGACACTTCTTGAAGTCGGAGTTTTTCAAACTTTCCGACAACTAACATCGTTTGGATTTATTTCCAGAGAAGGAAATTGGACAGCACATGCATTAGCTGATCCAATAAACTGCTCGGCCCAATTTAATTTGTCCCACAACTAACATTAATGAATCGTGATTCATTACCAAGTCTGTGTCTACAATTCCACATGGCAATCCAGGCCAAACTATTGTCTTTTGTAATGACTGGATCACGTAAAGCACTAAGGGTATAATTGCAAGATCCTACAACCCTGATCATGGTTTTGACTACCATGCCCATCAGTATAACTTTTTACATGCATGACCTACTTCTAAGTTGGAACAGAGAGAGTATTTATTAAGCTTTGCACATGCAAGTTACATTCGTCACCCCTACTGCCCTACATATTGAAGTTGATTGGTTCAAAAGAGTTTTTAAGAAATCTAAAAGCTCAAAGTTATATGTTTAGTACTACGTAACTTTCTAAAAGCACATTTACTTAAAAGTATGTATAAAAATTTGAGCTAAACCTCAAGATCTTTATATTAGAGCTTTTGAAAACTGCTTTTAAAAAGCTCTTTTTATGAATATATCATCATTTCCCGGTGTCGCAAAGGCTCCCACCTACGGTGCGGTAAGGGGGGTCAGATGTATGCAGCCTTAGCCCTGTACTAAAGCAGGGAGAGATTATTTCCGGATGACCCATAGTGAAAATCACGTTAAAAAATGTTCTAAGAATATACCCATGTACATCTCAAAATCCAACATGACTCTCACTGCCCTAAAGTACTTCCGATAAGAGTAGGTCAAAAACAATTCTACCCAAAGCACTCCTACTAAAATAATTTTTTGCACAAAAGCAGCAGCAAGCCAAAAAGTGACTTAGGTACAAGCAACACTTTAAAGACTATAAAAGAAGTTCAAGTTCTATGCCAATCTTACCGACAATAACGTGTTGAGTGTATTGTCAATGACAACAAAATATGCTTCCAAAAGCATTTCAAGTTGATCAATATTTTCTCTGCTGCTGGATGAACTCATAAGGCTTCCATGTCTGCTAGAGCTGATACTGCTAAAAGCGCGCTTTAATCTGTGGGCCCCACTCCCACTGTTCAATCCCACCGGTGAGACTGGTGCAGATTTGGACAGTAATCTGTTATTCCCACCAGGCGTTGTGCAATCATGTTGCTGTTGTTGTTCACTGCTAGTTAGGAGACCCTCTCTTCTCTCTTTCTTCTCGGTTAGATACATCTCAGCCATGTCACCATCATCATCCATTAGGTGTTCTATTTCATCACAAACCTGATGGAGATGAAAGCAATCATGACCTAATAAAAGCAATCAAATATAAAGTCTAAGTGTGTTTTTGGGATACCCTATTTTCAAGGAATGAGTCTTTTTATAGAGGAAAGGAAATACTTCAAAACGAAGCGTTTGGCAGGAAAACGTTAAAAAAGTGCTTTTAGCAGTAAAAGAGAGTTTTCAATGCTTCTAATAAAAGAACCTATACACACCATAAGTAGTCCCAAACAGGATCTAACCTTTTGGACACGTTGTGTTAAGGCAAGGAGTTGGCCTTTCAATCTACGGACACGTTCCAAATTATGAGTGCTTATAGATGATGCAAGTTCGTCAAGCACCGGGTAGACCTCGATTTCTAATTCTTTCACCTATCAAACTCGCAATTCCATAATCAAATTCATTAAATTCTTAGAAAGATGTAATGTAAATTCTCTAAAGATAATAGTGATTTTTCGCCAACGTATGTATGCATGTAACATTTCCTTTTCCATTATATTATGCAATATACAGAGTATAACTCTTTCATAGTTAACGGTATTTACATCTGGACTAGATGTATACCTGAGCATCAAGAGACATGCATGTCAGTTCCAAAGCAAGCTCCAACGCCTTGAATTCAAATGGAAGATCATCTAGAGAAAGGTAAATAGACTATCAAGGCTGATATTTTAAATACTTGAGCTAACTAAGATTAATAAAACACCGCATACATATCAATAACTAAATTCAGAACCAAGTTCTACTAGCTCTGCCTCTTATATTAAGCTTCACTTTAGGGTTTACAATGTTTAAGAGATGATTTAGATAATCATTTTCATTTACCCCAGTGCCGCAAAGGCTCCCACCTACGGTGGGGTAAGGGGGGTCGGATGTACGCAGTCTTACCCCTGTACTAAAGCCGGGAGAGACTGTTTCCGGATGACCCATAGTGAAAATCTCGTCCAAAATTGCATGGACTGACTGTTGCTTCATAACAAAGAAGCGCAGACAGTTTAGTGAGTCATTTTGCTTTATTCCATCATAATCTCAAGCCAAAAAATAATGAATCTTTAGCTCCATTGCAAATGATGGAAATGAGATGATTTAGATAATAAAGACATACATTAGTATTAGTAAGGGAGTTACTAAAAGGGAGTTATGTTGACTAAGAAGTTAATTTAGGGAAAGATGAAGCATTGGAATTTTACCAGATTGGTCTTTATTTGTTTGAAGACGTTTGCACAACTCTGACTTGTAGTGGAGCACACTTCCATCAAGAGAATTCATCAATATAACCTCATCAGCTCTGATGACACATCTAATCTGCTCAAGATTAACAACAATGGCTTGCTCCCGTCCTAATATTGTTGAAGGATAAATAAACATAGGGTCCAAAAGGCGTAGATCTCTAGCGGGCAAAGAACAATGTCGCATCACAGTGGCCTTATCCAATTCCATAGTCTTTGAATTCCCATTCTGATCAATCTTTATCCATGACCGACTTCCAATACCATGTCCCCTCTTCTTAAGGCCAGGAAGACCAAAAGATCCGTTGATGTTAGGATTTAACCTTTGAAATTGTGTTTCTGCCATTGTTTGTTGTATAATCTTCTTCTCTTAGATTTTACAGGGTTGGATTGTCACATGGGTAAGATAATCAAATATGGGCTGAAACTTAAACTTTCTTCATTAATCCAGCCTTGCGGATTTCAGCTGTGTAACTCCTTCAAACAACAACTGCTCTTCTTGTCATGGCCATCCGTGTAATTCTACATTTTGGATTACTGTCACTGAAAATTTGAATTCAAGCAGATAATGAATTCTATGGGGTAATAAATGCATAAAAGTTAGGCTCCCTTTATTTCTCAAAGATATTTTTTAAATTTTCTTGGATCCAGCGCGAGAAAAAAAAATCAGGTCCTTGATTCTTTCAACTTTGGAAGAAAATAACTTCCTTTTTTTGAAAAAATGAAGCCATATTCATGAAGCAGCTTGGCTTTTGCTGTTTTGTGGGTTAAATAATAGATCCCATTTAGCTTAAATGGATTCTGCCTAACACTTCTTTACAATTCAGAAGATTCAGCCAATAACCCTAACCAAACAGGCTCTATATTATACACAGAGAGAAAAACTTCCCGGTATTACATTTTTCACTGAAAATATTTCCTCAACTTATATTCGAACAATCAAACGGAGCCTTGGACACAAAGTAGTCCCAACTCCCAAACCTATGAAAATAACAAAGCAGGCTAAAAATTTATGCACATGTACTATTCACAATCCTTCTGTGATGAAATTTAAGTGCTCAAAATTGTTGCATTCCACTGCATACGCAAGCTCTGGTCTTTTAAAAACTACGAGCAGGTTTAACTGCACACATTAATTGAGGGCTTGTTCGGAGGGGTGATACGCATTTTTTATTATTAAAAACAATCCTCTCCTCCACTTTCCTCCGAAAGCACCGAACCAAACAAGGCCTAGCACTATACGTTACTTACTAGGTCATATAAAGATACTCCGTAGCTTTATATGATTTAATAAACAATCCAAAATCAGGACAGCAAGAACAAAAGGATATTCACAAATAAAGCTTGTACATAAATAACAACACAGAAATTAGTTAAAAACCAAGAAGACCAATGAAACTGAATGTAAATAAGCCACAGATGCCAAGAAAACACATTTACTTAACGACGAAATGAACGATCTTTAATTTGCAGAGGCGAAACATTCACGTACGCAATTCACGATCTTAAAATGAACTCAATCTTAAGAAAGACTCGCCTTCTTCACGAATACAAGAGTTCCTAAGAGTGGATCGAAGATATTGTCAGTAATCATGGAGTTTCTGGGGAACGTGTTCATCTGATAGAATGACAGGTGGGCTTTCGGATTTTACATAATAATGGAATGAATCTATCCAGACATATTAATAACATTTCAAGAAAAATCTCCATTTTATTTACATAGAATGCAAATAAAAAATACTCCCTCCGTCCCTCAATACTTTGCCAAGTTTGACCGACACGGGGATTAATAAAGTAAAAACTGTGTGGTTGAGGTTTGTGAAAAGGAGAGAAAATTAATTGAAACCACAAATTCTTTACTTAAATGGGAAAATGACAAAGTTAGTGGGACATCCAAAAAAGAAAAGTTGGCAAAGTTATAAGGGACGGAGGGAGTAAGGTGTTTCTAATAATTTTATTAACATTAGTAATTTATATTGCCTGTTTCTTAGGGAAATTTTCTCTCACAGTAAAACATCTTACAAAAATTTGAATGTTAGTAACAAAACATCAATTCAACTCATCTATTAGTCTATTACTCACAGCGCACACACAGAAATTTAATATAATCTATTTATATATTTTTTAATTCATTTATCATGTCTGTTAAAACGCTACATATAGATGGAATTCATCTTGAGAGAATTGAATGGAGAATTCATTTCATATAATTAGGATGTGGCAAATTGTACAATATAGTAAATAAGAATATACGAGTGCATAGGAGATGATCCTGCTTGATCAAATGTTAAATCAGATTTGTTGCCCGCAATTATTAATTATTTTTAATTTATTTCTACTATTAAAATAATATGTTTTTAGGAAATAATCTTACATTAATAATTTGTTTTAACTCAATATACACACTACCGTTAAAAAGGCTCTAATCACAAAATTTAAATCACTTTTAGAAGAAGGGTGTGCTTATGTCATTGAAAATTTTGTTGATTATTGTGAATCAATCAAAGTCGAAAAGACACATTATGCACCTAATTATATCGTCTCAACTTTATGGGAACAACTGAGTGCAGAAAGTTACAATCGAACAGTGTGCCTATTCATCTATTTCAACTTGGAGACTTTATTGATATTTTAGCCAAGAAATATGAACAATCATTATTGGGTCAATCTCAATCATACGTTAGTGTATATTACCATATATGTTACGTGTAAACAACACTCAAAAATTGAATTTTGTTACATTTTCGTAGATGTATTCCGAAGAATATTATGTGAAATACATGTTTAGTTACTCTTGCTTATATGCACAACTCATGTTGGGGAGTAAGTAGTTCGAGCGACATTTATGAAAAATTTCAAAGTTTGTTAAGTGACATTTATGCGAATAGAACTTCCCTCATTCAAAAGTTTCAAACAAACATCTATAGAATGTTCTAAATTATAAACACTATTTACAAGTTTAATAAATGTATAAGTAAACTAACAAAAAAACATCCTTTAAGCTATGTGTTTAGTAACTTCTAATGTTTCAAACTTCCCTCAACAATTAATCTTTTGAAGAGACATGTATCCAAATAAATCTTTCCTTAAATTACATGTTTAATAAATTCTTGCCACATTAAAACATTATTTTCCTCATAATGATAATGCTTGTTAATCAACTAAGTAGAAACGTCTCTTTTTAAGATTATGTTTATATTTTTCGAAACTGAGGGCACTGGAAATATGGTTTAATAATGTCTCTTTATGGTTACCTCAAGGAGTGAGTTAAAAATGGTTATATACGATGATGACAATCATGTTGTGAGCACCACTAATAATATGATTGCTAAAAAGTTTTTCAAAACTAATGATAAATTTTGTATACCATCAAAAGAAGTGATTGTGTTGTTTTAAATAACTTCGTAAGGACAAATGAGGAAAACATTTCACATTGTACTATTGTGTATTTATATGGTCACGTGTCGTTTATTGTTACACCATATATTATTATTTTACTTACAAATATTAATATGATTCGTGTTTTCTCTTTTGTCTATAAACTAACATCATATAATCAAAGTTATAACATATATAACAAATGTAACAAATATATTTTTGCACTAATTATAGCAAAACAAGTAAGCTCCATCTAGTTGAAGCACAAAAGTAAGAAGTGTTTTATGATTTTCAGTGACTTGCATCTAATTATAACAAAATTAGTGAGCTACATGTAATTCTAGCCAAAACATTTGAGATACATATGTTAATTCTAACAAAATCAGTGAGGTCAATATGAGTCCAGCCAAAGAACTAAAATGCATCTCATGATTTGTATTTGTTGCATATAGTTATTATACACATTGTAGCTGCACACTGAACACAACAAAAGTTACATATGATTATAGGAAAAATAATGCTTGTTGTTTCACCTATGGAGTCCTTCCGTCAGTCCTACTACGAGTTCTTTTACGTCCAGCACTTCTATCAATTCTCCCACCATCAGTACTTCTATTTCTACATCGGTATTTTTCAGACGTTTTTAACGGTGTGACCCTCTTGTGATAACGGAATTCAAATACATGAACTACTTTGATAAAGAATGAAACATATGAATCTATCTGAAAACGGGCCCAACCACCGGTACCTTTTCTGTACTTTTCCCTATACTATATATAGTCACTAATCCTACATATGGCTAATTACCTAATTACTTACATGTGAAGTTGTGAACTGGATTCATATTAGATTCATAATCCGATTTATAAACATTATCAGTTGAGTAGAGAAACTACAAAAGAATATTAACCTCCAAATGACACTTGTTGAGCTAATGGAAGTCTAACATGGTTGATCAAGTGCATTGCCCGAACACATGGTATGTTTGTCACCTGCCAGTTTGCCTCTCACAACACTTACACTCATGATTGTTTACTTTAACATTCCGATGTTATACAATAACCCTTCACCCGAAGGAATAGCCACAATGTCATTTTGCTTCCGCTTGTACACTGTCAAAATATTAGCAACCTTAGATACGACATCATTTTCATCACAACTATTGCTTTAATTTTATGTCATACATAATCCTCATCATAGAAAGGGTATGCTCAATACCATGAAGCATGTTTTTCTATTCCACTTAATATAAAACTATCACTACCTTCATCCAATTTTATGGATCCTACTTTGATTTGACACAATCATTAATAATGATTTGACACAATTATTAACAATTATTAACAAAGATTCGTCCAATCTTATATATGATTTGACACATATATATTAACAATTATATAAGTGAATGAAAAGACATGTTTCTTCAGTTCAGGAGCTTTTAGTTGCAAAAACTTATCCCAATTTTCACGTGAAAATTGAACCAAAGGACTACGTGAGTTTCAATAAACCAAGCTCAATAAATACGTTAGCCAAATTGAGAAAGCTATCTAGCCACGTGAGTTTCAAAATTGGGAAAACTCCAAAGGACTACCATAGCAACCAGATATTGCAAATAAATTATAATTCATGCAAATTAATGTCATGCAAAAGCCGACATATATACATGCACAATATGACAGACTTTCCATAGACACTTGGTTAGGAATGCACTAGCTATGTGTCAATTAGGCATGCTTCATATACATATTTATGAATACACATGGCCGAACACTTTAGAAAGGAATAAATATAATGCATATTGTCGTCATAGTATTAAAAAGGCTAAATTCACAAGAATAATTTATACTTTTAGGGATTCTACAATAATAATCCATAATGAGAGTGTTCATAAAAATAATTTGTAGTAGCAATAATGTTCACAAGAATAAATTGAAGTGAATTCAAATTAATGCTCATTTAATACTCTCAACCCTTAGCTACCTCCATTTTCCCCTTCACCACTTTTCGTCTCGGTTAACACTTCTATGTTCTAATCTAGAGAGAACCACATATGGCGAAAATGACATTGAGGTTAAACAAGGTTTAGTTTGAATTTCCTCGAGAAGAAGAGCCAGGAAGAGAAGATTGAGTGTAAAAGTTGAGAGTATTAAATGTGCATTAGTTTGAATTCACTCCAATTTATTCTTATGACACCTAGGGTGGTAAACAAATCAAGTAATTTATACTCAATTCGTGATTCGAATTCGTATAAGGCTATTCGAATTTGAAAAATACAAATACAAATAAGAATACTAAATTTGATTCGAATAGTTATCAAATACAAATAAGAATATAAGTGTATTTGGTTCGAATGTTAATCAAATATATTCGATAAATATTAGTCATAATATTAATAATAATAGTGATAACATTATAATAATTATTAAAAGATAACTATACATGTACAAATTGCAAGCCTATTTCTAATAAATCAGAATATTCATACAGAGTGAGGGTTGTAAATGAAGCAAATAATTTTAATTCGATTCGTGATTTGGATTCAAAAATTATGATTTAAATTTGAAAATATATAATATAAATACAAATACAAAACAACTTTTTGGTTCAAATATTTTTCAACTACGAATACAAATAATTATGTATTCAACTCAAAGAATAATCAAATATATTCGTCTATACATATACAAAATCAACTACCTAATATGAATGTTTGTGCATCAATTACCCATTATGTGTGTGTATAGTTTAAATTATAGTTCGTATATCTAATGGTTTTTATTAGCAACATTGCTAAACATCTAACATAAAATTAGAGTCGTTTGACTTTGGCATATACATGAAATAGATGTATATTTAAAAATAATAAAATTGATTCACTTTATTATATTGTACACAATCTAAAAATGCATTGATCTATAAATTTTTAGGAAAATTTAATGTTACAAATCAAATTCTAAAAACACATATTAAGTCATAGCTAGGGCTGGTTCGGTATGGTATACCGAAATTTTAACGTCATACCGCATACCGTACCGACAATCCGGTATTGGTAAATGTCATACCGTTACCATACCGAAACTTTCGTTATACCGAAAATTCGGTACGGTATGTAACCCATACCGTTTTATACCAAAAATTCAAAAAAATAAACTTCATGGCAATTCCGTATAAAGTATTAGCTTAAGGGGTCTACCGAACATCCAAAAAACTGATTTTAACAAGTCAAAAGTAGCATACGACATCAATACATAAACCGATACCCAAACTAAAACACAATATTTAATCCAAAGTAGAAAATACTAAAATTATGT